ATTTACCCACCTTTGCAGAGGATGCCATGAGTGAGGCTTCAAAAGGCTAAGTATCTTGAGCCAAGACTGCCAGGTAATGAGTGGAAGAACCAGGGGCCTCTGATGCCAAGTCTTACTGTGCCTTTTCTACTAAAACACGAGCTGGGACTTGCCCTATCTGTTCTTATTTCCCTTACAATCAAGCAAACTAATAAAGGCACAGCCATATCTCATTTATCTTGATATCCTCTGAAGCACCCAGCCAAGGGCCTGACACTTGGTCAATTCTTGTGCTTTCATTGCCTGAAAGTACTTGCGGGCACACGGGCCTCCCCAATGGTGAGCATCTGTGGGCTGCTAAGCGTTGAGGACTTATTTCTAAGGCGGACTGTAACTTAACAACAAAAAGTTCTAAAAACAAATTCTGTACTTGTGAAAGATGCCACCTGGTCTGCCTCAGGGGCTGAAATCCTCTTTTTATGCACCGAGTGGGAACAGCACAGGGAGTGACAAGCTGGCTTTCTTCAAACCACTCCCACCAACGGGCTCAAGCCAAGAAACAGGCCCACACCTTTCGGGAAAGAGAAGTGCCCGTTTCACCTCTGGTGTCGCTGCTGGTACTGCCAACAGTCTGAGAAGGAGGGAAAGGGAGAGCAGGTTTGGTGCCAGGTCTGATGATGTAACCTTGCAAGGCCAGCTTGTCTGCCAGGAAAAAAAAGGCAACCGGCTTAGAAACTAGGGTTTTTTTTTCCCCCTCCCTTAATATTCAACTGAAGTCTATTTTGCATAACTGACCACTAGCTGGTTCTGTTTTGTTTAATGAACTGCACTTAGTGTCTCATTTACCTGACTGGTTTGGGTTCCTTGGAAAACAAATGTATAGAGAGCCTGAAATAAGTGTATTTCATAAATGTCCCATGTGCAAGAAGAATGCGCAGTTCTCCGAAGCTTTACTTTGCAAGCCATACACATGCACAGTGGGAGACCAGGAATAACATACATCTAAACACCATAAAGGCGCACAGTCAGGCTCCAGTGTCACCAGAAACACCAGAAACTCTTCCAGGATCCTGGGCAAAAAGACAGACTTCTGAAGTGGGATTATATTTTAGAGCTTCATTCATTATAATACACTTGGGAGTTTTCAACCCCATGTCTCTGACAGATGTTCCCTTTTGTGGGGATTGTCTAATTTGAGGACATTTGGTAACCATGTCCCTAGAAATCTTTAGGGTACAGCAAATTGATCCCTCTTCCCACATGTGAAGACAAGACCCAAAGGAGCCTCTTCCTATTTCTAGGACTAGTTAGTGTAAGCATAATATTCCTGCCCACTGCATGGACAACGTAGGGCAGAGAAACATTAGGCAGACTGAAATGAGGTATCTCCCAGGCTCAAGATACCTTTCTATGCCCATGGAGAGCAGAGAGAGGGAATGCAAGTCTTTTCTTGCCAATTTTCACCTCATGTGGATCAGGCCATTGATCTATGTTATCACTGACCCACATTGATCAGGCCTGGACCCCTGCCTGTCAAATGCACTGCATGGGGCTTGGAACTTCCTAGAAAGAGCCATAGCAAAAGCCAAAAAGAATACAAGCCTCAGCTTAGGGCAAGCATCTGGCACTGGCTTTGGGCGGGGCCACATGGAATGCTTTCCCCATGACTCCTGAGAGCACTCTCCAAGTCTGAGTCTATAATCAATGCTTGGATGGCTCCAAGTTAACAGGATAGTATGAAACAGAGAAAACAAATGAGACCTTAACACAATATCAAAGACCAGTACCAACCTCTCCTCATTCAGTTCTTAAAATCTATCCTATAACCTTGCCCTTACTGAAATGTCATTACCTCCGTTCTATACACTGAACTCTGCATGAGTTAACCAAAGATATTAATAACTTTAGGGCGCCTGGGTGGCTCAGTTGGTTAAGCGACTGCCTTCGGCTCAGGTCATGATCTCAGGGTTGTGAGATCGAG